CTTTGAAGGTAATACAATTATATTGTTTTTCTATCCCCCTTTCTGTTTCGAATTTATCTAACCAGTAACGTTTTTTTTTCCTAGAGAGATTAGGATTAGCCTATCTGATAAACAAAGTATATTACATACATAACTCCTGGTATATATGGACTGATGTAGTAATGTTCTAACGTGATGCATGACATACTTTCGCTTATATCGATCTTGTGCAGCATGTTGAGATCCCCGTTCCTTCTCCTGACATTGATGAGATTCTGGTGAAAATAGAAGCAGCAAGCATAAACCCAATCGATTGGAAAATTCAGAAAGGCATGGTTCGCCCTCTTTTGCCCAAAAAGTTTCCTTTTATACCAGGTTTGTTCAATACTTCAATTAGGATCCATCCTCATTTATCCAATCGTACGATTTCTATATATATTCTTTTCCCCTAATTGTAATATGTTTGTTGAAATAGTATGGGATATAGCAGGAGAGATTGTGGAAGTTGGACTTGGAGTCAAGAATTTTAAACCTGGTGACAAAATCGTCTCCACCCTTGTGTGTTTCATCTTTCTTCTTTCCATATTTAGTAAATTTTTGTCCTATGACATCCGTCTTAGTCCCACTTATGTATGTTCTGTTATGTTATTTCCTGTCTTAATACTACCTTTTTGTTTTTTTTAGGGGGTTACAGGTGGAGGGTTGGCCGAGTACGCCGTGGTTAAGAAAAGCTCAACGGTTTTTAGACCACAAGAAGTTTCGGCTGCAGATGGTGCGAGTCTAGTCTTTGCAGGGTGCACCGCTCTTCATGCCCTAACTGTAACCGCCGGACTAAACCTTGTAAAGACCCAACCGCGCTCAAACATTCTTGTAACCGCCGCTTCAGGCGGCGTGGGCCACTACGCGGTCCAATTAGCAAAACTAGGGAACATACATGTGACCGCAACATGTGGGGCCCGTAACATCGAATTAGTGAAAAACTTAGGAGCCGATGAGGTGCTAGATTACAAGACCTCGGAAGGTTCCGCCCTTAAAAGCCCATCGGGCAAGAAATACGATGTAGTGATCCATTGTACAACTGGGATCCCGTGGTCGACCTTTGAGCCTAATTTGAGCAAAAATGGGAAAGTGGTTGATTTAACACCTGGTGTTCGTGCTTTTTGGACTTATGTTGTGAATAAAATTATGTGTTCAAAGAAGCAACTATACCCGTTGATTATGACTCCAAAAGCCGAAGAGATTGAGTGTCTTGTGAAGTTGGTAAAAGAAGGGAAATTGAAATCTGTTATTGATTCGAGATATCCTTTAAGCAGGGCTCAAGAGGCTTGGACTAAGAGTATTGAAGGGCATGCGACTGGGAAGGTGGTTGTGGAGCCGTAACGTAAATATATAGTTATTTATTTATGTATATCACTTAAGAACTTATTTTATAAGTTATAAAAAGATCTATGTTTCTCATTAAACAGATTAAATTTGTGGCAAATCTGTGTTTGATCAACGACATATTTGTGTCAGATCCTAGTTTTGAATCTTTAAATTACCTTTTTTGATTTTATCGATTTGTTTTGGAATAAAGATTTTGATGGGTTCTTGGGAACAATAGAAATATCCATGATATTTACTTAATGGTCCGCCTTTATTTATACGGTATGTGTTTAACTTTATAAAAATCTCATGCATGACTTTTATAAAATAAGTTATTAGATTCTTTACGTTTTATGTAAACTAGTAAAAAAACTCGTGCATTGTTATGGGACTGATTTATTTATTTATTTTTTTTGTTTTTTGCATTGATTTGTTTAGTACATTAGGCGGTCTAGATATAGATAACAAAAGATACATATATAGCAAAAGACTGAAGCATATGATTATCCACTTCATGCACTACTATTCGTCTTCCCTACCATAATTTAATCTATTCAAAACAGGAAACAATTATTAGGGATGACGCTTTGTGAGCAGGTCACCTTTACACAACTATTGCATGACAACTTGGATGTGCATGGGCAAATATGTAAACTTGACAGTGCAGGGGGCAAATATGGACAATTTTTCTTACTGTAATGATAACTAGAATCCATAATGGCAACAAATTTTCAATACCCACAGTAGAATAGCAATGTACTTCTGAGTTAAAAGTACATTACTATTTTGGAGTGGGTCTTGAAAGTACATGATGTAGTCGTTACATTTTCAAATTACAATGCTTTATATAGCATCCTACTTTATTCAACTTGTACTCTGTACTCTGGCCAGCACATGGAAAGCAGGTAGTAAGCCATATCTTCCAAGCTGGATTCTATATAAAACCTTTTTTTTTTTTTTTTTTTTTTTTATAAAACCAAGATCAAGAAATTTAGGATATGTCATATCCTAGTTTTCCAGACTATTTCTTCATTTTTTTTGGTCTAAAAAATAAAGAAAATTAGGAAATTCTATCATCTATAACAAAATTATAACACAAAAAATGTTGTATTTATTTTGGAAAAAATTGTCAAAAGAGAGGACGAATGGATCATCTTTTGTTAAGTTTCATGTGGAAGTTGCTTGGTTGTTGTAGTCAAAGACGTCTAAGCTTGATAACATTCATCAGTCTTCCTCTGAACAACATAACTGAAACTGATTTCTGATTATATTCACCCATGAAATTACAAATAAAATTAAAACATATATGAAATTTTAGATACCACGAAGTTTAGGAGTTCTTCTTGTTAGCCTATCTGTTATTAGCCTACATGTTTATGGGCCCTTTAGGATTTAGCCTATCAGGGTTTTGTCTTAGCTAGTATTTATTCTTTCATTTTTCTTTGTAGTATTTATGCTTTTCATTGAGAACCTTGTAATTTCTCTCTTTCAATAATCATATGACAATATTATCACTTCTTATCCAGATTCCACTAACCAATGAGCTGTCAGTGATTCCTTCCAACCTAATTACAAACTTGGCATGAGCTTTCAAACCTTACCCCTTGATTTGTTTTTCTTACCATGGTTTGAAGTCTTTACCGAAAAATACCGATGTCAAGTACATAACATTTTTAAACCCTAACAATATAGGGGGTGTTTAAAAACTATCTTCAAGGGACCCTCTCAACAGATCTAGAACATATAGTTTTTGGCCACCATGCTTGCCAACACGAAATATAAACACAAAAGTGGTCATTTAGAATTTTCATTGAATCTGCATTTTCTCTTAAACATGCTCCTTTTCTATCAACCAATATATCACGTAGGATTGTTGGCTTGTGCGATGATAGGAATGCAACTGTGTATTTGAGCGAGTGCGATTACCACAAACTTATTGACTTGAAAAGCTTTTGTAATCTTAAATATCATAGCTCGTAACTGCCATTTACAATCTTTATTGAAACAAATTGTTTTAAACATGTCTTTTGTAAATTTGCTTCTTTTGATTTGAAATCCCTTCTCAACACATTTCATTCTTGATGCTAGCTTAAGATCTTCTTTGTTTTTGTAAAGTTGTAACAACTTGATGTGTGATAAAGGGGTTGTGGGTTATTGAAACCTTTTGTTTTTGGGTTGAAAATTCGGGCGACATTAGACATTCGCGTGTAAGTGGTTTGAGATTCTTCATAATCCGAAAAATATTATGTGGAAATATGTTTTTTCGGTTGTTGGGGCTTAGTGACATCATCATTCATAATATGATAAACACTTTAAACTATTCCACCGGTTTGCCATATAAAAATATGTTTGCATCATCAACCAACACCATTATGTTGAACTTTTAAGTCCGAGATTTAAGTATGGAATATTGTACATTCCACAATACCTTTATGTTAGTATGAAATATACATTCTTCCTACCATGTTAGATTTCAATATACTTTTATGTCATTTCTCATCAAAATCTCACCATTCCGAAACATACATTAATATTTAATAGTTTGAAATCTGGTCTCCGGAACTAGAGCTGACAAAAATCGATCCAACCCGTCAACCCAACCCAAAATTAGCGGGTTGGGTTGAGATTTTCAACCCATTTAAGTTAAATGGGTCGATCCGTCTAACCCATTTAATTAAATAGGTTGGGTTGGGTAAAAAATTTCAACCCGTTTTCAACCCTCCAACCCAATTAACTTTAATATATGCTTAATTTAATATTTGTTTGAATATTATAATGTATTAATCGAAGTATTAATTTATAAATTAAAATGTCGTATTATTATTTGTGTTTTAAAAAAATGTAATTTTAATTCTCATCTTTTTTCTTATCCCCAAAAATACTAGTCACTCTCCAAAATCTCTTTGTAATTAAATATTTTTTATGTTATTTGATCAATAAATTGTGATTGTGCTTTTGTTATACATTGAAATTTTATTTATGTTTGAAACTGATTTATATAGTATAATTTTTAGTTAATATATTTAATTTTTTGATTTTAAATAAGTAACCCAAGTTTAACTTATTTATTTAATAGGTTGAATCGAGAATTATATAAATGGGTTAACCCGGTGGCAACCCATTTATCTATAAGGTTGGATTGGGTTAGAAATATCAACCCACTTAAATAAACAAGTTGGGTTTAGTTGATATTTTCAACTCAATTAAAAAATGGGTGAAATCCGAACCCAACCCAGATCGACTCATTGCCAACTTTATCCCGAATATAAATATTTTTTTAAAAAAATTAAAAAAAGAGTGTGATCGTTGTTGACAAGAACCTCTTCCTAATAGTAAGTTTTGTTAATAACTCTTAAAATATTAATAATGTTTGACAGATTATCCATAACGATAGGCCTTGATTTGAGTTTAACATGAGCTATTTGGTAAATGTTAATGTAATTACCTTTTACATGATAAACTAAATAGAGGTTTTAAAAAATATTTTATATGGATAAAGATCAATTATTTAGATTTAGATACTTTTAACACAACTAAATATTAAAAAATAATGAACATTAAGAAAATAAAATCAATTAAAAAGTAAATTTAAAACAACTAAAATAAGATAAACGATTGGGATGCTCTTTAAACCACCAGATTTTTGGCTTCATTATCTTTTATTTTCCCGTTCCGATCGGTTCGAGCAGAGAGTTTCGGCCCGATATCACGTAAACAAAAATCAAGTGATCACATGGAGGAGTCAAACAGAGGAATCTTCTAGTCGTCACGAGTCTATAAAATACGCCGTCACGTTATTCACACATCATTCTTCTCGTTCGCTACCAAAATTCGATAAACTTGCTCAGAAAGTTAGATCGAGGAATGAATATGGCCGGAAAATTGATGAAGGCTGTTTGGTACAATTCGTATGGAGGAGGTTCTGCTGGTTTGAAGGTAATACAATCACATTTCAAAGAGATTGGTGTTTGAATTCCATCTCCCTTTCCGTTTCGAGTTTATTACTGCTCCTTTGCTTTTTTGATTTTAATGTAGCTAAACCTAGATGTGACCTGACTTATTGGGGATTTCACGATGTAGGAAACTGAATTACCAATTTGTAGACGCAGATATAGATTTCTAGTGAATCATAAGCTAACATATTAGATGGTTTTCTATTAAAAGTCTTTGACTTGCACATCAATTTAGTAGTTGGAAAATGATATTGGATATATGTAGGAGAAGCATTAGTCAACGATATATAGTAGATTCAAATTGGATACACAGAGAAACTTACTGAAATTAGGATTAGCTATTTGATGTAGAAAGTAGCAGTGCTTTATCGCTTGTTTATATGTTGTGCAGCATGTTGAGATCCCCATTCCTTCCCCTGGAGTTAATGAGATTCTGCTGAAAATAGAAGCAGCAAGCATAAATCCAATCGACTGGAAAATTCAGAAAGGCATGGTTCGCCCTTTCTTGCCCAAAAAGTTTCCTGTCATACCAGGTACTGTTCAATAATCAAATACTACTTCCATTAGGATCCATCATCATTTATCCTATTCTTGTTCTATGCCTTTAACTATAACCCATATTCCTATACATATACATATACATAACCATATTTTGTTGTTGGAATAGCTGGTGATGTAGCGGGAGAGATTGTGGAAGTTGGATCTGGAGTCAAAAAATTTAAAGCTGGTGACAAAATCGTTTCCACCCTTGTAAGTTCCAATTTTTGTCCATTTGACATCTGTCGTTTATGTCTTGTCATGTCAGTCTGACTTTTCTTTTTTAGGGGGCTGCAGGTGGGGGGTTCGCAGAGTATGCCGTGGCTAAGGAGAATTTAACGGTTTCTAGACCGCCAGAGGTCTCGGCTGCAGACGGTGCGAGTCTAGTCATCGCAGGGTGCACCGCTCTTCACGCCCTAACCATAACCGGCGGTATAAACCTAGTCAAAATCCAACCGCGCTCAAACATCCTCATAACCGCCGCTTCAGGCGGTGTGGGCCACTACGCGGTCCAACTAGCAAAACTAGGAAACACACACGACTCCAGAAGGTTCCTCCCTTAAAAGCCCATCGGGCCAGAAGTATGATTTGGTGATCCATTGTACAACTGGTATCCCGTGGTCGGCATTTGAGCCCAATTTGAGCCCAAATGGGAAAGTGATTGATTTGACACCTAGTGGTGGTGCGTTTTGGACTTATGCTGTGAAGAAAATTACGTTTTCAAAGAAGCAACTACAGCCGTTGCTTGTGGTTCCAAAAGCTGAACAGATTGAGTGCCTTTTGAATTATGTGAAAGAAGGGAAATTGAAAACTGTTATTGATTCGAGGTATCCGTTAAGTAGGGCTGAAGAGGCTTGGGAGAAGAGTATTGAAGGACATGCGACGGGGAAAGTGGTTGTGGAGCCCTAAACGTAAATATGAAACAAGTTATACATGTTTGCTAAGAACTTATTACATATAAGTGTTTGTTTCAGACATTTTTTTTTTTAATATTTGATTTGATGAGCGTAATTGGGCAAAGAACTTAATTGATTTGGACATATTTATGTTTTTTTTTTACTTAATAAATAAAGTGAGACTATGGTTATTTTGTGGGTATTTGGTCTTTTTATAAATGAATAGCTCTAAATATATAATTTGTTAACTACCTTATTTAAAGATTGTATTTTTGGAGCAGCTATCATTGTTAGGGAACTATGTGATATGTGACACTTGAAAAGCAAGTAGCTATGTCTAAACAGTGCGGTTTATCAGTTTTTGTTAAATGCAAATAGAAAATGTTGTAGGCTGACTTTTTTTATTGATGAAAATTAGGGGATAGACAGCTTTAGGGAGATAGATAAAAGTGAGTAAATTGGCCAAATACTAGATTGCATTCACTGATTCACGGATTGGGTGTAAAAATGTCACGCCTATGACCTTGGATAACGTTTCTTTTAACGATAATGCAATTGATTTTTTAGTTAAAAAGTTGTCCAATCTTTACAACGGTGGAAAGTATTTCCTCCATATTAAACTTAATCGTGATGGTTGGACTAAAATTCCAAACTACCATGCCGAATGTGTCCAAAAGACCGTAAGGTATATTAGACAATCGGTACAAAGGATAAGCAAGTTCAAAAATGTTATAAAAGATTGCGGCTTAGAAACAAAGAATTTTCTATGAGGTGACACCCCTACTTGATGCAACTCGACTTTCGAATTATTGAAGATCATATACGAGCTATGAGAGACGCTTGTGGAATTTTGCATAAAAGATTTTTTAAAAGCCGAATTGTTTTATGTTTTTATGTTTTTCAACGTAATGTTGAATCTGTTAAGAATTATAAAGATAAAGATAATGATAGGTTGGTGTTAAAAAAACCCTTTTGGGGTTTTAAGCACATTGTTTTCCGTATTATGATTAAACCTAATAAATGTGTCTAATCAATCGAATTTGTTTTAAAGTCTATTTTGTTTTTAAAATGTGTCTAATCAAATTTGCTTAATTAATTTAATATTTTGTTTATTATCTATAATAATTATATATTTTTTATATTATTAATTTTTGTTTGAACAACGGTAAAACTTTTTTTCTATCATATGATAATCATCTTTATTACATTTTTTCTTTATTATAAGTTGTTAATAAGTAACTTTGTTTTTTTAGAAACATAAAGTATTTATTGGTTAATATTAATCTAAAATATAATAAATATTCAAATTATAAATTAACACAAAGTAATGTTGATAAAAATGTAAATACATGTACTTTATATATATTAGCAAAAAAAAATGGTTAACGGTAAAAAAATTTGAAATGATGATACGTATTAAAAAAGACACACTTTAAGGTTAATAGTATTAAATGTTAACAAGTAAAACTTAATAGTATATATTATTAATTACGTTTATAAAACTTTTTAAAAATTCCAAAAAGAAAAATAAAAAAAAATCCGAACCAATTTTTATCCTATTTTTGCATGAGATATAGATTTACAGTATAACTTAAGGAAATATGGATCCACAGTAGTCACACCACATTTTGACACCATTTTAAAGTATCAAGTTCTGAACTTGGTTTTGTTTCTTGTAGATCTTGTTTTGGGTTAGTTTTAGGTTCTTTTTGTCCCAGATATTGTGTTTCATAAACAAAGCATGTTCTTGACCCATTAAGCTGTCTTTTCATACCCTTGGGAGGGTATTGAGTCATAAAAATGGGTTTCAAATGGTTGGTTTTGCTCAATGCATCTTGTAGAATGTCTTAATGGATTAAGAAGTTGAGATAAGTACTTAATGGGCATGTAAAGTCATAAAGTTGGAGGTTCGCCTGCAGTGACTCCAGGGCATGAGGCAAAGCCTCATGTTTGCAGCGGAGGATTAGTCGGTGCGCGAAAGCTGGCCCGGAAACCCTCGTTAGGGAAGTTCCCTTTCCAAAAAAAAAAAGTTGGAAACTTTATGACTCTAGAGTGTATTTTAGCCTTGGATCTGAAATTTGGACGTAAGTGCTTAAGCCGTTAAGCACTTAATGAGTTTTGAAGTTTCTGGGAGTACGCCCCACATACTCGGAGTACGCCCTGCGTACGAGGTCAACCACCCTGATGGTGGTCAACATGCAAGGACTCGAGTACGCCCAGCGTACCTTCGGTGTACGCCCCACGTACTCGCATTGGGTCAATTCAGTTGAGTTGGCTCGGTTGGGTTGACTCAGTTGACATAGTTAGTTTGACCAGTTGACTTTGACTTTGACCAAGTTTAACCTTAAGGGTATTTGGGTATTTAGGATACTAATTGAGATTGGTCATTTGGTTGGAATAAGAGTCTGTTGGAGCTGAGATTCGGAGTTGAGACCTCATCAGTTTTTTGTCCAGTTTGCGAGGTGAGTTTTCCTCACTGTACTTGTGGGTCGAAGGCACCAAGGCCGACATATTGGTTGATATTAACTGATATTCTGAGTATGAAATAGATATGCATGAGTATGCTAGTTATTAACATGCTAGTCTGGTATATCTGTAGGACTACCTGTGATTCTGTTTGCATGATTATCTGTATATGATTATTATCTGGTATATATCGACATATTGTGTTGGGTTGAGGTTGTATTGCTCCGTGCGGTAGCCAACAAACCATGGAGCATTCCAAATATGAGCTGAGGGTCGGGTAAGGCATTCCAGACTCATGTTGAGGGCTCATGAGCATTCCAGATACGAGCTGAGGACTGGGCGGTATGTCAGACTCGTACTGAGGGCTTGATGGTATTTCAGTCCGAGGACTGATCTGATCAGGGAGCAAGCCATACATAAGTTGTGGTCCCCGAGGGCAAGCCAGACTTATGTTGTGGGCTCAGGGGTAATCCAGTCTTTTAGCTGTGGACCTATTGCATGTTGTTATTGTATATATTATTGTTATGTGTTGGTACTTTGGGGAAACTCACTAAGCGTTGGCTTACAGTTTTGAGTTATGTTTCAAGTACTTCGGATGACCGCGGGAAGGCGAAGGCGTGAACGTACATATCTTCTTGTTATGATCTATGATTTTGGGAAACTCTGATGTTGGAAATGTTTTGAAAACTATTTTGTAAACACTTTATGTTTTTGGATTGTATTTAAAAAGTTTAAATTTATCTTGATTTTTATGAGTGTTACATATACTACCATGGAAAGTTGTTTTGAATAAACAATCTCAATTGCAAAGAAGATGATATATCCTAACATATTTCATCAATAAAATATTAGATTATACTTCTATTAAACAATTATCTACAACAATATTTTTATAAATACAAATTGAGTTAAATTGTTAACAAGATGATTTATAGATGCACTTTTACTAAATTACGAAATAAAAATACCGTAAAAACATTAACAATCATATTTAAAAAAAATATATTACATGACACGAACTAAAAAAATAAATAAATGAGAGAGAGAGAGAGAGAGTTAATAAAGAAATAAAAAATTAACCCATATTTTTTATGAATTAGTTTTCAAGAAACATTAGAATGATAGATATTTATATACCACCATGGAAAGTTGTTTTGGATAAACAATCTTAATTGCAAAAAAGATCATATATCCTAACATATTTCATCATTGAAATCTTTTTTTAGACACCAAACAACTACAACTTTGTTCTTCATTTTCAAGCATTCTATATAACAAAAACGAAAAAAAAAGAAAAAAAATATAAATAACCAAGAATGGATGATACTGTTCTTATATAAGTAAAATATTGCAATTAATCATTCAATTAAGTTGAATAGGTTGAAGAGTTTTGAAGTTATAAAATAATATGGTTTAATACAATTAACTAAAAAAAATTGAAAAGTTAAAATGTTTCAAATCAATATGGTTGAATATTATTGATTTATGACTTCTT